CTGGGAGTTGATTTTCCTTCCACCATGTGGGTTCCTGGGAGGAAACTCGGGTTATTGGCTTGGCAGCAAAAGCCTTTACCTGCTAAGCCATTTTATCAGTCCCTTTTAAGCTCTCCAAGACAGATGTGATCATCTCACTTTGCTACACAAGCACCTCAGTGAAATCTCTACTCCTGGAAGGATCACGTGTGAATGTTTTCATAGCTGAGGAAAGGCAGCAGGGTGCAGAGAGAAGTGTAAACGTCTTGGAGTTAAGACAGACCTAAGTTTGACCTCTGACTTTCAGCCAATTATTCTCTTCTGAAATTTGTTTCCTCCTTTAGCAAACGAAGATCACCCACACCCCTGTAACTCAGTACATCTGTGGGTTTGTGGTGGCTTGCATTGAGAATGGTTCCCATAGACTCATGTTTGAACACTTGGTCCCACGTTGGTGGAACTGTTTGGGAAGGATTTAGGAGGGCTGGCCTTGTTGAAAGAGGTGTCACTGGAGGTGGGCTCTGGGGTCTCAAAAAACCATGCCATTCCCAACTAGCCCCATCTGCCTCCTGGTTATGGATCCATATGTGAAACCACAGTTGGATGCCCCAGGGTCATGCCTGCTGCCCTGGTCCTCACTATGATGGTCATAGAATCTAACCACCTGGCACCATGAGCCACAAATTAAATGTATGGTGTTATTTTATTTGTACTGAAATGTGATTTTAATTGTATGTTAATAAATAAAGTTGCCCAGGGGTCAGAGCTATTAGAGCCATAGCAAGAGCGTGGCAGTGGTGGTGCACGCCTTTAATCCCAGCGCTTGGTAGACAGAGCTAGGTAGATCTCTGTGTGTTCAGAGATACAGCCAGCATTGGAGACATATGCCTTTAAGACCTGGAGGGCTGTACATACAGGCAGTGACGAGGCAGTCATGTATTTGGGTTTACAACCAATGAGAAGGCAGAACAGAAAGACTATATAAAGACAGACACACAGGAAGTAGCTCTCTTTCGGGGAGGCAGGAGCACCGCAGGAAGGGTAAGGTTTTAGCTCTTCACTCTGACCTCTTGGCTTTCTCCTTTACATTGGTTCTGTGTTTCTTATTTAATAAGACGGTTGGTTACATCTACATCAATGCTTTATTTTATAAGTTGTTTCGGTTCTGGTGTCTTAGCACAGTAAGAGAAAAAAGAAAGAAAGACAGGGTCTACAACAAAGGACCACCAACATCGCCATAACAAAAATGCAAACCCACACAAACCTACTGAATCAAAATAACACTCCTTAGAATTCCCAGATAAATCTCATGGACATTAAAATTTCAGTTGTACTACAAACTACTGTGTGGATTGAATGCATATAAATCTCCTGGCACCAAGTAGGAACTTACTAAATGTTAGCACTTATATTTCTTTTATTAAGATTTATTCTATTCTTGGGCTGGAGAGATGGCTCAGTGGTTAAGAGCACTGGCTGCTCTTCCAAAGGTCCTGAGTTCAATTCCCAGCACCCACATGGTGGCTCACAACCATCTACAATGAGATCTGGCGCCCTCTTCTGGCCTGCAGGGACACATGCAGGCAGAATACTGTATACATAACAAATAAATAAATCTTAAAAAAAAAAAAAAAAAAGATTTATTCTATTCTTAATCATGTGCCTGTGTGGTGTATGCCACGTGGGTGCCCATGGAAGCCAAGGGCATCAGATTCCCAGAGCTGGAGTTACGGTGGTTGTAGTCCACCTGATGTGGATGCTGGGAATCAAACTTGGGTCCTTTGGAAGAACAGTATGCTCTCCTAACTGCTGAGGCATCTCTCTAGCCCCAACACTTACCAACTCCTTTGCCCTGTCATTGCGCATCCCATGCTTTCCGTCTGGAATACCTTTCTCACCTCCTCCTCCTCCTTCGTTACTAGATCTCCAAGTCTAATACTATTTTCTGTATGGCTTCAGCCTTCTGCGTTGTTCATTGGCCTACAGAGGACTTTTTACTTCAACATCCCACACTACTTTCCATATGTGGTACTAATGAACGTGTCTCCCTCACTAGACTGTACACTTTTAGGGTCAGGGACAATGTCCATCTAATTCCTAAAATTTATCTAGCGGTCTATTTTTAGAAGGTTCTACATAAGTAAGTTGATCAAGAGTAGAAACTAGAAGAGCAAGTGTATGCCCATGAGACCAAACCACCCAAATAGCTGTAAGTGAAAATGCCAAATGACAGCCGCCTTTCCAGAGTTTTAAATGCCAGCTGTAATGGAGAACAAAACGAACCATTTCCTTGAGTTTGTTACACAGGCAGTGCACACAAGGGCAGTTAGCTTCAAGGCAACTGGAGTCTATGGTTACTGACTGTACAGGCTCTTTAACTGGAAGGCATTTCACAATGAGCGATGATCGATGATGGAAAAATTCCAGCGGTTGTCCAGAGCACAACCGTTAAAAATGCAAGCTCTCAACCCTTACTGTCAGGCTTTGGAGAGCAACTTAAGTTTTCTGTGCTTCCGTTTCCTTTTTGATACCTGTGGTGACCCTACCTGGTGAAGCTGTGAAAAGTCAGTATGTATAAAGACACCGAGAACAGAATCTGACAGACCAACCAATGGCAGCTCTAAGTATTATTAATGTAAGTGTCTTATTATTTAAAAAATCTAAAGCATTCATTTACAGAGGGATTATCACCTCTACTAACTTGAAAGATAATCTGGTACCCAAATTTGAGTATTCAATTCCATCTTTCCTTTTTTCTTTTTAAATTTTTATTATTCTCTCATGTATTACATGCCGACTGTAGTTTCCCCTCCCTCCACTCCTCACAGTCCCTTCTCCATCTCCCCCTTCCCCTCAGATACCATCCCCCACCCCCCGCCACAAACCCTCATATCACAACTGGACATGACAACCCTGTAGGAGGAAAAGGGTCCCAAGAGCAGGCAAGAGAGACAAAGACACCCCCCTCCTCCCACTTCCACTGTCGGGAGTTCTACAAGAACACCAAGCTATACCTACAACCATAAGGAAATGTTATTTTTCTTTAGAGGTTCAAAATAATGACTCAAGTATCACTCAACTAATTATTTCAGAACCTGAAACTGTACATACACAGTAAACTAGATGGATGGCTAGAGAGCAAGTTCTCTAAGACAAGACAGAGGGTAAGAAATTGAAGGAAATCCCAGCATCTAAGCTGGTGCCTTCAGATTTCTCATCTACCACTCAAGACTCTGTTCTCATTTCTCTGTCTCCTGCAAAGAAGACCCAAATCTCACAGCTATAATTAGAGACTGGAAATTGCCCCAACTCAGGGATTTGACTGCTCTGGAAACTTATTCAAACAAGTAAAATCACTTGCCCAAAGTTGTCCTGTAGATAAATAACAGAAAGTGAAAATTCTAAATGTTGAAAAAGGAGTAATAGATTTCACCAAAACATTGGCTATGAATTCTTATGCTCTCAAAAGAAGTTATACTTAAGTTTAAACATTACCTTTAACTTTAAAAAGTTACAAAATAGCTGCAAAAGCATTTGTGGAAAACTTATGTGGTGTGTAACAAAAGGGGAATAAAACTGAAGATGCTGAAAAGTAGTTCTGGGCAAGGTGGTCTATGTCTGTAGTCCCAGCTAAGGAGGACTGAGGCAGGAGAACCCACGAGTCCAAAGACCAGCCTGGGCGACTATACCCCAATACATCACAGTGAATAAAAACCCAAGGAAACAAATCAACAGCTCTGCAGGTCTCAAGTCACTCCTACTTTCAGCCTTATTTACACCAATAAGTCACTGCTAAAACACAAGCCCATACATAGGCCATTATCAGTAACTTTAACATTTTTAGACTGCTAATTACTTTTAAATTAGAAGCCAGTGACAAACCATGTAAATACAGGAGAAAGTCAAACAAAAGACAGAGAGCTGAAATTCAAAGTTATCAATCCCACTGAGCGACTGCATGTCTCTGCGTGTGCACACTTGGACATGTGTATGCCTGTGTGTTTCTGCAGGCCAGGGGCGGCTTTGTGTGTCCTCCTCATCTGCTCTTCACCGTACTGTTTGAGACAGGGTCTCTCACTGAACCTGGAGCTCACTGATTTCACTATCATGGCTGGTCTGTCTCCACCTCCCTAGTGCTGTGGTTGCAGGTGCATACTGTAAAGAAGCCCAGGTTTTTAAGTGGGTGTGGGGATCGGATCTGAACTCGGGTCCTCACGCTTGTGAGGCAAGCATTTTATAAACTGTGCACTTTCACAGCCCCAAGAGAAAATTTTTACACACAGAGACTCTCCAAGTTTGTTTGAAGCAAGTGGTTGTCCATTAAAAATAAAACAAAACCAACTAATATAACTCATATAAATAATTCGTAAATAGAAAATGTACTAATCCACTGAGTTAAGATTCATTAAAAAGACGGCACAGGATAGGGCAAGAGGTGCTTATATGATAAATGATCATCTTGCAAAATCTGTCACATATATTCAAAACTGATTTACCTGGTTAAGGGGAAGAGAGGGTGTGCTTTTCTGTATTAAATGGTAGTCTAGAGAGATTGCTGATAATTTCTCATAGAGGAAATTTAGAAAGAGAAGGCAAGGGTATAAAAGAGGGCAAAACACCGGACACCTGGAAAGCCCAAGGTGCAGGTGGGCACTGGATTCAGCAGTTCTGGTGCCCCACCTCCCTAGTAAGTACCTCAATGTCTCATGCCCTCTACCTCCTGACCTTTTTTTTCTCTGAAATCAAAGGAAATGTCATATAACCCCTTGACTATAAAATGACACTATTTGGGGCTAAGTGGTATTTTTAAATTCAGATACAGGTTCCCGTTAACTGAAATTTCAGACTTTTTGGCTCATAGTCTTATATTAATGCATTGCCTAAAAGGTTCATAATCAGGACATAAATTACCGATGAGTCCAAATGTGTCATCTCATTGTTTCATGCATACATTATAGAGACGTGTGAGAAACACTATTAATTAGAAAAAAAACCATTGAAATAAATGGCTTGCACAGTACCTTCTGGTAAACAATGGAGCAGACGAGGTCTTTGACCGCGGACAGAGACAGTTCCTGGGCTTCGATGGTAACGCTCTCTCGAGTGAGGCCGATCTGGAGTAGAAATGAAACCGTGTGCACGGAGCCTCTGGAGTTGGTGAGTGACGGGGCGCTGAAGCTGCCATTGGAGAGCCGAGCGGAGAGCCCTGTCTTGGGACTTGAACACGGAGAAGGAGTTGGAAGCACCACAGCAGAAACAGTGGCAGGTAACACAGACTTCTGGGCTGAGGGAGGGGAGTTATTTGCAGACATCTGCCTTCCTTTAAGCTATAAAAATAGTTGTCAATGCCTTTTAAATGGTTCCGAAGACGTTTTCAAAGTAACAGGAGTAAAAAAAAAAATGACTGTGCTTCTGGATTTAGAGGCAAGCCGCTTGAGTTCCCCGGCGGGGCCACTCATGCCGCTGATGGCAAACTCCGTCACTGCCAGCTGAACGCACAAGAGGTCCTCCCGCTCTCACCATCCGTCCCATTAAGAAGTGTGTCTTTGGGGCCGCACCCAGATCTGTAACTCACTTCACATCACCGCTATCACCAGAAGACTAGAGCTGATCCCGACGATTTACGAAACATCTTCAGCTCTCTGTCTTCGCCTTTTCATGTCAGAAAACACGAGTTAGATACGGTCGCTTTGGTCAAGATGAAATCTCCCTGGTTCGAAGCTGTGTTTGTGATACTCGACTCCTTCAGTGACTGACGGGACACCTCCAACGGTCACACCTTAAATCGCCCTCTCATATGTACTCATTTTCATCCTGGGGAGCGAACTTCCCTCTGGGGAAGTAAAACGCTTTTAGAAATAGTACAAGCATATTTCTCGCGATGAATGAATGGGTCCACAGAGAAAAGCTGGTGCCTTCTGAAATGCTGTCAACCTAGAACAAAATTTTAAAAGGGTTTTAATGCTTTATATTCATTTGACATCCGTTTAAAATGTAAGAATCCCTGTATTTTTAGTGATAATCTCTGGTGGTATTTTTACAGTTCATAAATGCATCCTAATGGGTGGTCATTTTTACTTAAGTTACCAGTCATTATTATTTAAACTACAGGTATAATTTCAGAGAGGGATTCCCACTTAAAATAATACTCTGGTCCCTCACCACTAACTCCTGAGCCCTGGGGGAGGGATGGGGGCTAAATATATTCATCTTCTTTTTGGGAGATAGGATTTCACTCACCATGTTGCCCTGACTAGTCTTAAACTCCTGGGCTCTAGAGCTCCTTCCGTCTCAGCTCCCTGAATAGTTGAGACCAAGATCCACCCCACTGCACCCAGCTATAATTTATTGTGTTTTAAATTTATGACGACCAAACACTGTTATTCCACAATGACACAATTCAATGACGATAAACTGAGAAAACCAGAAGGGATAAAACAGGAAAAGTTAAAACAAACATCAGAGACTTAAAATGCTCACGATCCCAGCCACATAAAAGATACAAATTGATTTCCCAATACCAGAAAGCTCTGTGTTTTTATATATGAACACTCTAGTGAGGATACAGCAGCAGGTACAAGGCCCTCGATTCCATCCCCAGTACGCCCACCTCTCCAGAGTCAAATTCTGTCCAATAGGACGACTGGGCTGCTCTGTTGACAATTACCTTCCAGAAGCCTAAGGAAGCAAAAAAAAAGGGCAAAAGGGGATAAACCAGAGTCAACAAAGAACTGTGACAGCTGATAGACCACAAAACACAGGAGAAAGTGAACTCATCCTTAAGGGATTTCCAACGTTAGGAAAAAGAACACCACCACGTACAGTAAATTGTGCATCGTGGTTTTAAAGAAAACACAGTTTAGAAAATTAAAGAAAAAAAAGAAAAGAAAAAGCCATGACCCTTCACAGCTGAATGAAATGGCTCACAAGAGGGGAGTCCTTCTAAAGTCTTTGTAGCCATAAGCAATTCCAAAGACAAGAAAGGGAAGTATCCAAAGTGTGTGCGGTGACTCCAAGGAGACTAGTCTATGGAGCTAAGTAAAAGTGAATGACAGAAGAAACATACAGATACAGGAATGCAAATGAGAAAATTCAGAATAAGTGAGTCTAAAAATAACCCAAAGACACAAGCACTGATCGTGACATTTAGGCAAAGGGCTAGAATTCAATCTCATACTTCACAGCATTTGACATCGTGTTTCACTAATGTGTCTCGCGATACCTTTTAAAATTAACAGGGAAATAGCAATTTTGCTGATGAGAAGACCGAAGCCCAAAGTGATCATGCAATCTGCCCAGTATCACATGGCTATGAACAAGCAGCGTGGGGATCAGAACCCACGTCTCACTCTTTTTTATTATTATTTTTTAACCAGTACTGACACCACAACAGTGACTGCTTCTTAAAGACAACAAGGAACCGAGAATCCCTGTTCAGAGAGGATGCTGCTACGGGTGACAGATTACACAGAAAGAATTGCTCAACTCGTATCTTGCTTATTTTCTCCCCACAGTCTTCACGCTCAAAGTAGAGAACTGAAACCTGAACTTCACGAATGGGAGAGAATTAAATGACTTTTATTTAAAAAAAAAAAAAAAAAATGCCTTTTCTTTTGGATCTCACTATGGTGCCCAGGACAGCTTCAAACTCACCGTGTGTGTAGTCCAGGATGGTCTCAAACTTACAATCTTTCTATCTCCACCTCTTGAGTGCTCAGATACTAAAACTTTATGTGAATGCAAATCTCTGGGCCAAGACGCAGCTCATGCCAGAGAGCAAAAGCAGTGAGCACGTTTAACCGTGGACGCTATGCAGCGAGCCGCCGGAAAGGGTGAGAGACGCAGCCGGGAACTGGGTAGGGGAGAGCTGCTTCAGGTGCTGAGCACAGAAAAGCAGGTAAGCCCAATGCAGAAATTACCAAAGAAACCTAAAACAAAACAAAACAAAACAAAACCCTTAGCCAGGGGCTGGAGAGGTGGCTGAGCAGTTAAGAGCACTGGCTGCTATGCCAGAGGACTCAGGTTCAATTCCCAGCACCCACAGGGCCGCTCCCAGCTGTCTGTAATCCAGCTCTAAGTGATCTGACACCCACACACAGACATACATGTAGGCAAAAACACCAATGCATAAAAAATAAAAATCAATCACTTTTTTTAAGAAAGAAAAAAATCCTTAGCCAGACCTGAGAAGATTGTTATTCAAATGATGTGTGAACAACCAGAGAACAGTATAAGGACTTCATGTCAGCCTAGATCCAAACAGAGCGATGCCAAGTCCATCCATCACACTGATAACTTCATAGAGGAAAACACAGGATTCTCAAGTGGAGGAAGTAAGATGAGCTCTTACCACCTGACAGACACTGGTCTAGACACCTCTATTACCTCCTTAATCCTCACAAGCACTCATTCCAGAGTTGAGAAAGCAAAAGTTCAGAGGCCAAATATTTGCTCAGGACGCCGACATCCTCATGATACTAGGGTTTAAAATGTTTCCCCCACTATTTTCGTAAATACGCTGTGTGAGTTTGAGCTGGGTATCAGTGTGGTAAGGAAATACGCCGTATGTCAACAAAGTCTTTAGGGAACTGTCTCCAAACCACTCTTAGCCCTGTACTTTCAGTAGATGTGAGATGGTAAAGACAAAGACATCCGCTTATATAATCTTCAGGGTGAACAAAGCTGAGCGGACAGAATAAAATTAAAGCGAAACTTTACAGAGATAAATTCAACGTTAAATGTGAAACACAGGGATGGAGAAATCCTGATGTGGAAGCCAGTCCTGAGGGTGGGCTGTTTCCAAGGCTTTAGATAAGCTGTTGGTGTAATGGGCTGACCCAAAGAACTAAGGCAAAACTAAATCCTCTGGACACTGCAAAGTCATCAGTATTAATCTGCACACTCGTCAATCTATCATTAATATTATATTTATTTTATAATCCATATGTTTAGAGTTAACAGATTTTTAGGTCTGGGAAGAAAAAAATTGCATACATCCGGGTAACAGGCGAAGACAATGGCATGCGATAAACATACGCTTAATAAAACCTGAACAGAGTGAGTGGTCCTCAAATATTGGAGGATGTGTAGAGGGAGAACCTGTGTTATTCAGCATGATGGCAGAGAAGTACAAGGAAAAGGAAGCCGGCCTCTGGGCCATAAGGATTGACACCTGCACATGAACTACTGGGGACACATGGCTAAGGGTAAGTACGCCAATCATTCCAAAGTTTTATAGCAGTGAGATAAAAGATATCTTCCTACTAAGTTTACATTTTATTATACCGCTCGATATTAACTACCTAACAGTAACAGTCTAATAATACACTTGACTAATTTACTAGGATGATATGAACTCCTAATAAACTATATATAATTTTGTATAAAAGTGATTTTTTTTTTTAAGTTTCAGCATGGACACAGATATAAGAACCTGTCTTAACAGCTTCCACCCACACGTCCCATCTGTTTTCTCTCCTTGTTTTGTTTATGGAATCTTGATCTGATCTGTAAGAAATCTAACAATTCTAATTTATACGAACTTTGGTCATGCTGTGTATTTTTTTTTATTTGTTTCAAATAGAAAATAGGGCTTATAAGTTAACAAATAGTCCATCTTGTTTATTTAGGAGCTGTGTACTAATTAGATGCTGTTTCTAATAGCAATGAGAGCCTCTGAAGCAGAACAGCATTGTCGAGCTGTCAGGAATTTCTAACAGTTTGGTTGGCAGTCTTCAAACATTCTTTTGGAGAGCTGTCACGACCTCATTCAGATGAACTTACAAATTCTGTCACCAGTGAATGGAATCAAAAGATAGCCTACGAGAGGAATTTTGAGCCCAGCGTGCCTGATCACTAGAGACAGGGTGAAGAAAGACCTCCGAGGTTAGGGGACTTGGCTGAGTGACACTTCATGGTAATGTCACCAGCTGATCTACCTTCCTCCCCCCACCCCAGTCAATTCATCACAATACAGTATGTTCCGACCTTAACCACGTCTCTCACCAGAACCCCGGAAATCCGGGGTTTCCTTCACCGTGCACTTACATGGCACCTGGGGGTCGCCAGACCGCTCTGAGAGACGCTGAAGTTACACAGCAGTAGCTGACCGAGACAGACATGGCCACTGCTCTCCGTGGCACTCACAGACATCAAACCCACATTTGCCTAAGGGGCCGGGTAATGACAAACGATGAGATGCAGCAGGGTCTCTGCCAGGGAAACAATGTCAGCTGGGGTCTCAGGGAAGGTCTCTCTAAAGGAACGAGAGGGTTCCAGAAAACAGGCCGAATCAAACACTTCAAAGGGAAGCTCTCGTGATTAAGATGGCTAGCCAGCATTCACTGTGCACCCAGCAAATGTTAAAGCAAAGAGGAAGAAATGCTCTTCCTTTGTAATAGCATATTTACCTGACTCCTCCCAGTAAAGAATCACCCAGGTTTAATTTAGCTTTGTGTGTGAGGGATGTTAATGAAGTGCAAGGTTTTATCCCAACTCTCGTGCAGATATGTATTGTTTTAGCATGTCAAAAGCGTGTGAGCTTTCTCAGTGACATAACTCACCAGTACACTGAAGTCAATATCCATGTATTTACCTCAACAAACACCTGACTTTGCTTAATGCTTATATATTGTGCAAAAACTCAAGTATTTTTGTAGATTAAAAAAAAGACCACATTCTGTGGCAGTCTCTACATCTGACTGCATATTTCAGAAACATGACGATTCCCTCAGATTAATATAATACTGTCTAAGAGCTCTGCACTCTACTAAATTGTTCCCTCGACATGTCTGCTCATCTGGGGCCAGTGACATTTGAACTTCCATCCCTCCACTGTCAGGGAGAGCACCGAAGGGGTACACGAGGCAGGTCCTCTACGCAGGCACTGAGAGGTGTATCCAGATTTTAGAACGCCAGTCTGGCAACGCAACACGAAGCTATGATAAGCTTGATAGATCTTCATCTCTGCAGCAGTAGTTCCTAAGAGATCTGATTGGCTAATAGCCAATGAGCACTTCTCACACACGGCCACTAGAACATCGTAACCACACAAGTGGAGGAAACTTCTTAGCTACATTAAATTAAAAGTAAAACATCTTCCATAGCCCATTTTTTCCTTTTAAAATGACTGCTCCAAGGAGGCAGGTTCGGTATGAATTACATAACCGAGAGACTCAAAGAAGAGATGTGATCATTAAATCCAATTATGTGTCTAATCAAATTAGATATAATTATTATCATATACCAAGTTCTGAACAAGTTTCTTTTAAAAGCAAGCAATTAACTCCACTATGGTTATTTTTTTTTTTTTTGCCAACTTTATTATTTTGTTGAAAACACTTTGAGAACAGGTCCCTGTTGTTTGAATCTTAGATGGTCTTTTAATAAAAAAAAAAAGCAACCCAGAGCCAGATATCAGGGTGAAAGCTGAAAGATCAGAGAAGCAGAGCAGCCAGCTACTAGTTCTTACATCTATGAAATCCTCAGCCTAAAGAGTTCCTGTTTCCTCTCGCCTTAGATCCCTTCTGTGAAAAATGTACCTTCCATAACTATCTACCCCGCCCCCTTTTTACTGTATGGGGTGTTTCCAACTCATCCAATTTTTAAAATTTAACTTATTGTAGTTTTAGGTGTTGTGTAGCAATGCTTAGATGAGAACATGCAAACAGAAACAGGTCATTCGATAAAACAGAAAGCTTACAAAATGTGCAAGATTAAAAGCTCATCACTTTAAGGGGCTGGTAAGGGGGTAGGAAGGGGGTATGAGAGAGAACAGGCTGGGGTGTGAGTGTGATCGGTGTGTATGAAACTGTCAAACACATTTAAGAATAAGTTCCTTTAATCTTAGCACTCCTGAAATGTGAACTGCCCTGGTTTATCAAAAAGGACTCCAAACTCATGTTCTCGGGCCCATATCATTTATAACAGTATCCTATGAAGCAAAACCTATAGTGATTCTTTCCTGTGAGACATTTTAAAATAATACTTTTACAAAGACTTGCAACAACTTTTATGGCTAAAGTGCTGTTTTATCTCACTCCAGATTATAACTGGGGGGAGGGGGAGGCGGGGGTGGGGTGGGGGGGGTGTTGAAAGTGTTCCTATATAGAGCAAATCTTACTTAGGTCTGAGTCTGGGAACTTCACGGAAGCCTTCTTGAAGCAAATCTGTAGGCTTGTCGGCCCTCTTGGCATTAAAAGTTTAAGCGTAAGGCGAACAAAATCACAATTGCTAAAACTGCAACATGAGTTATAAAGTAGAAGTATTTTTTTTTCTAGCGTTAACTACAGGATACAGACGAAGACATTTTAAAGTTTTTGTTTCGTTTGTGCTTACAGGTTTTAAAAGGCCCTGTCCTACAAAGCAGTACTTCGAGTTGTAACTTATCCTCTTTAATCAAAGATGACACCGATAGTCTTATTTCCTGTGGGGACGGGCGTGGTTGAAGGGACAGTTACGTCCATGCCATCAATCTGTGTACGGAAAAGTCTGCAGGTCGCGCCTGTCGCCGGATTTATATTCGTGCTCACAAACAGCACGGCCTAGACTTCTGACTTCGATGGTGTGAAATAAAATATCCGACACGCAATCGAGCAGTGTCGTGTATGCTTATGATCATCATCATCACCATCATCATCATTTTTAAATTGCTCCACATTCGCGAGTGTTTCACTTTAGGGCAAAACTCCCCGGGGAGCGAGAACGCCGTGGAGCGAGGCTGCATGCAACTCGCAAGCCTAAAAGGCAGTCAGGAAACTGGGGGGTCACCATCCTCCAAACCCCCGGATACTCGTCCCTCTTCCAGCCCCCCGGGACCGACCACAGGGGGAAAAAAGTGCAGCCAAAGAAACGGGGAAGGCTCCCCGGGCACGGCGCCGCTAGAAACTAGTTTGCGGGGAGCTGGAGAGCGGCCGGTGCCCTCCACCCCCGAGGGGCAGGGCGCGGTGGGTCACCGCAGCCGAGCGACTCCAACTTGGCCTCGGCGGCGGCGAAGACCGCGGAACTTGGCC